AGGTGGCCTGGTCTTACTTGTGCTCTGAAAGAAAACTTGGACATTCCTGTTCATAATAGATAAAATATCACTACTTGATAAGCTTTCTATTTCCAAGACTCTCAGGAAACAGCACAAAATCAAACAGTTTCACAAATGATAGCACAGTATCCTAACCCCAAGAGATGGTTTTCATTCCACACAGGTGTGGATCAAGAAAACATGCCTGGGAGTATTTCAGAATGATTAGTTCTGCTAGAAGTTAACAGAAATCTGGCAGGTAGGAAGAAAGCAACCAGGACTTTGGAAAACTTTGGGTACATCAAAGTTAGAGAAGTTATTTCATTACTCAGAAACATTCAGAATCTTTAAAATAGAAATGTGCTTTGTACATCTCTAAGACAGACAGATCTAAACTTACCTGAATCTGATCACTGAATCTTTATTTTTCCTTGCCAGGGTACATCTTATAAAGTAGTAGTTCAGCATAATGGAATCAGCTATTTTCTTTTAAAGGTCTTAATACCCGTATTCCCCCTTAGCCAATTACATTAGAATTTCTGGGAGCGGGACTCGGGCCTTAACTGTATTTTAAAACTTTCAGGTATGCAAATTTGAGAACCTTTGTTGGCAGCCCCTTGGCCTGTAAGTTCTAGCCTCTTTTCAGGCTAAAAGAAAAAAATAGTCACACAAAATTGCATTCCTGAACAAATCCAGGAAAAGACACAAACACACACACACACACACCCAACTAACACCTAGAGACAGAACACCCACTGCTCAGCCAGCTTTGTTTCATTGCATGTTAGCACAACACCCTTCTTTAACTTGCCCTCCACACCCACTCAGTATTTTTCATGCCATGCTTTCTGGAATCTTCAAAACTCAGTCCCTAGATGTTATTAACTTTCTGTATGGATTTACTCTTTTTTTTTTTTTTTTATTGTACATGTCACAGAAAAATTGGCTTTTGGCAAAATTATCACCAATACTCCCCTAAAATTTACCAAGCTGATACACATGAACCAATACACAAAGAATAGGTATAAAATGAATAGAGAAACACAACAAAGACCTACAGGAAGAGCTGTGTGATTCAGAGTATTTACCTTTCCAAAGTTTTGTGAAATGTTTACATTTTTACAGTTTGTAAAACAGTGCAAGAATGTGAATTTGAAAACCGCTGCCATTGAGGCCAGCAAGTGGCATGGTGGTTAAAAGCGCTGGACTCCCACATGGCTGACCACGGTTCAAGTCTCGGACCTGGTGGTTTGCTTTCTCACTTCCTCTCTCTCCCTCTCTCTGTGTCTCTCTGATCAAACTGGAAAATAATAATGATAATAATAATAAATTTTAAAAAGTTAAATAAAATAATTTTTAAAAAAAAGAAAAGAAAACCACTGCCATTAACTGCCACAAACGCTGGGGATTCTCCTAAGGGTCCATGGTTTCCTGGGAGTTCAGACTAGTTGCAATAAATATGACTTTGTAGAGTATTTGGTCAAAAGTACACACTGTAATTCGGTAGTTCACAAATAAGACTGAACCTACAAAGACTCATACCAGGCTTGCTAATTCAACTCTGTTGACCCTGACCCCAGAACTAAAAGGCCCTTGTTTCCTTGAAGGCCAACTGCCAAGCCAGCACTGAAGATGGATGGACTCAAAGAATTAAAGTAGATTTTTTTGAAAAATACCCTTTTCTAGCTTTTAGCTAATGTCACTCTTAGTAAACACACTGGCAATTCTCAGTACAAATGAAAAGTACAGTTTTTGACAGAACTACCTTACAATTTACTCTAATACGCTGAGTGACTCACAAACAGTAACATCACAATACCCCTGAGGGTCACATAACACCAGAAATTTAACTACCTATAAAATCAACTAGACTTTATTTAACGAAGAATAGGCTGTACCACTATATAAATCTTTTTTTAATTTGTCTCATTTTCAGCAAATTTTTAATAAGGTTAATATAAAATCAGGTCATGCTTTTGGTTATAATATACCCACACTGCAAATATTATGTGATAGTGTCCCTTCTAACATGCCATTATAAAAAACAACTCATGCCATACAAGTGAAAACTTACAACATTTAAAATCAGTCCCCTGAATTGTTCTTCTCCAATTCTCATCCTAACATAAAATCCATATTACAGGAACTACCCCTCATGTTGCCTCTTCTAATCCCCAATTTCGGAATTAAGCCTTATTCCTCAGTATTCCCACAACTGTATTGTAACTTCAGTTAAGAATCATACTTGCTTTATATATCTATACGTTTATAAAAACAGTGTACCTTCCACAGCAGATACCAAGTTATATTAATCATCTTTAGATGTGGTCTCAGAAATAGAGGTGGGAGGCCCTTGGATCTTAGAGAATTCAGATTTCATTTATTCGTTCAAGTATTTACTGAAAGTACTTTTAAGTGTCAAGCACTGAGGTTGCCCTCTCTGTGAGTTTACAGCAGAGTGAGGAAGACAGACGAGCAAAGAGATCTCAGTCATTCCATTCCTTTCACTAATTATAGTTAGAAACTATGATATTAGTAACACTAATAAGCAATATGCATGCTTATAGATTTGGATGCACAAATAAGCAAAAAGGTAAAAATATTAGAATCATCACAATTTTATCAGAGATAATTATTGTGGGGGTTTGCTGTATGATCCCGTCTACTCTGCAAACAAACTCAAGTTTACCCCATGGTGATAGTAGAGACAGTGCAGAAAAAGGGTGAAAAATGAGAGAGGCTGAAGGGAGGACGTCAAAGGGAAAAAGAAAGAAGCAAAACACTTAAGGGATACCAAAATGAAAAATTATCTGTTGATATAACGTGTATGTAATATCTTTAACTGAACCAATATACAACGTATTCATGATGGGAAAATTCCATCTGGTATACTGTAGCTTTTATACCTAGTAATATACTTGTATACAGTCATTGAATGTAAAAAATAAATTAATAAATAAAGATCTTCTTCAAGTGATACTTATAAAACAGGCTTTTCCAACACTGTAGAGATGGCCTTCCTGAGAATGTGCTAAACAGGTGCTTTAGGGTCCCCGCTACACATGTGATCCTAGAAGGCATTTCAAGAGTTGTTTCCTGCATCCCAGCACCTGACATGTGATCAGAGCTCAAACAACAGCTCATGAAATGAAGTGATGAGTCAATGAGGTAGATTATTGAGACTTAACAAATCTTTTTTTTTTTTTTTTTTGGGGGGGTTTTTTTTTAGGGGGGGGGTGGCTGGCC